AGTTCAAGGTTGTCAGGAGGGGGGAGAGGCATTCCAGAGCAAGTGCCTCCTCAGCCCACAATAAGAGTGTGGGAAGAGGATGAGGCTGGTCCCTCCCTAAAGTCTCACAGGGTGGTACATCCACTAGTTGCTTTAGCATAGGTTTAGTCTGGCGAGATTCTGTCTATTAGATGCGAGCTAATAAAGGAACTGAACTGTACTGGATTGCCTTGTTGTTCTTGGGCTGAACTTTGCATGCACATATGGAAAAGAGATGAATGTAAGACAGCATTTCACACCCAGTATGGGCGAATACATGGTCATGCCCTTTGGATTGATTAGTACTCCAGCAGTCTTCCAGCATTCCATGAATGATGTCTTCCAAGATCTCCTGGACCTCTATGTCATTATTTACCTTGATGACATCTTGATTTTTTCAAGTTCCATTGCAGAACATGAATAACCTGTAAGAACTGTATTACAGAGACTCCAGGAAAAATGTTTGTTTACCAAGCTCACCAAGTGTGAATTCAAGAAGGCCACTATTGACTTTCTAGGCCATTGCATTTTTTCAGCTGGTATTGCCATGGATCCTGCTAAGGTGGATGCTATCTTGTCTTGGCAGCCTCCACACAAAGACAAGGACACAGAACTCCTGCTGGGTTTTGCAAATTATTACCCATCTTTTATTCCTCGGCTTGCCGAAGTCACACCACCATTGAGCAACCTCCTCCAGAAGAAGGTCTCCTTTCAATGGGAATGAGAGGGCTCAGAAGGCTTTCGAAGCTTTGAAGTCTGCATTTGCCTCTCAGCCCATCCTTCATCACCCAGACCCAGCAAGGCCTTTTGTCATAGAGACTGGCATCTCTGATGTAGCCTTGGGAGTGCTTGGCAACTGGCATGTATTTACTATGGTTGCAGTGTCCAGGGGTCACATGATCGCCATTTGTGACCTTCCCAGGGGACTTCCAACAAACGAAGTCAATTGGGGAAGCCAGATTCACTTAACAACAGCGTGATTCACCTAACAACTGTGGCAAAAACGCTCATAAAATCAGACACAACTCACTGACCACATTGCTTAGTGACAGAAGTTCTGGTCCCAATTGTGGTCATAAGTTGAGGACTATCTGTAATGGTATCCAATGCTGCTGAAAGACTGAACAGAAGAAGAGAAAGCACAGCACAGTCCTATCAAAGAGCAGCTCAGGTAGACTCCATCCATGCCTGTGCTTGAAATATGACTGGAAAAGATCCAGACAATCCATCTTATCCAGTCCACTCTGTGGTTCAAGCTGAACTACCTCCTTAACAGCCTTATCAAATAGCTGGCCACTAGTTCTGTAGAAATGTTGGCCCAGGGGTGGCTTTTTGAGGATGGGGTGCCGCTGTCAAGGATAGGGCCTTAACTCCTCCCCTAAATATATGTTACCACCTCTGAAACCCATAAAGTATTGCCCTCTTTGGCCGCTTGAATCATCCAAGCAGGACAAAAATCTAACACACAGGTGGCTGAGCTCATCCCACAGAGGACCGTGTCAACCTTCTTGAATGTCTGAAAAAATCCCAGATAGTCTTGCAAAATGCTACTTTCGTCATCTCAGGAGGCTCTGTCCATCAAACATTCAGCTTAGAGCAAATATGGCCAATGTTATTCTCAAAGTGCTTAGCACACTGCTAATAAAGCATGGCAAGAGGGAGTTGCTGGGAGTTAGGCGGCATATGAATTTAATTAATAAATTATATTGTTGTTATTTGTTTCAGAACGCAAAAAGAAGCAAGTCATTCTAAATAGAGCTGCTTGTCTACACTCTGCAGATGCAGTAAGTGCAGAGAAGCACTGACACTTTGTCATGGCATAGGCCCAAACCTGGGCTTGTACACATGTCTAGTTATCATTGCTCCTCATCTTCTGCCAGCATCATGACAGTCATCTCCTTTTCTGCTTTGTCTCCTGGAATTCCTCAGTAAAACAAAGAGCCCCCTGGATTGGTGGACAAAGAGAAGCCACTCAGAAGAACCTTATTGCATACTACTGAGTTGAGGGTGTAATGACTTGAGACAATCCACAGTTGTCACAACTGTCATGAATTCCTGAGCTCCTCCTGACCACACCCCAAGGCATGGGGGTTAAAGTCCCCCAGCACACTACCAGCCCCAAGATGAGGTTGAAGAGTTTGAGGAAGAAGCTGGGTGGTGCACCAGCAAGACTTACACCCACATGTACATAAAAGGCCTTGCATCCAGCTGCTTACAGAAGAGTATATCTGGTCACCAGATTCCCACAAGGTATCAAAGCTGCCCTTCTCTCCTGCCCTTGAGTTACTGACACTGGTATATCATCCCAAACCAAGCCAGGCAAATTTCAAAGAAGGAAATGGACTTCCATCTTCACCCAGCCTAGTTTCTGTAGTATGTGTCATGTGTTCACTTTTCCAACATTAAACCATGGAGATTATTTTGGTGAATTTTGTCTGTATGCTTAAATGCACTGAAAAATAATTATTTTGCAGCTCAGCAGAGCAGGAAACTCTGAAACAGCTCAGATTCTTTAGCCACTTGTAGTAATTTCATGGGAAGAACAGCAGCAGTGGTAGCAGCAGAACCCCTCCCTTTGTCCCTCTTCCTCATGGCAGGGTTCACACAATGACTAGGCTAACGAAAGGTTGGGTACACTGCAGTTCAGTGTGTTTTTGGAATCTGGACATTGTCTTAGCAGGCTTTTTGAACTAGGCCATAGGACTTTAAGCCTAGCTTGTTGTGTGAACACATCAAAGGTGTCTTGTTAATCCAGATTTAATAATAGTAATTATTATTTATATGCCACCCAACTCCTAGCAACATTGGGCATTTTACAAATTGTTAACATTTAAGAACAAGTAACAATAGAAGATACACAAACAAAGATGGCAGAGACACTAAACCCAGATGGGAACAAAGAAAAATAAAGGGGGTGTCACTCACACTCGCCAATGGCCTGGGTGAAGAGCCATGTCTTCAGGGCCCTCTGACACACCAGCAGGGTGGGGGGCCATTCAAATCTCAGGGGGAACCTCATTCCAGAGGGCAGGTGCTGTGAGAGAGAAGGGGCGCTTCCGGGGTCCTGACAGATGGCATTGTTTAATCGAAGGAACCCAGAATGCACCAACCCTGCCAGATTGAACCGGCCAGGCAGATACTATGGGAGACAGGCAGTCTCTCAAGTAACCAGGCCCTGTGCCACACCTGGAAGCAAACTGGCAACCAGTGCAGCTCACCAAGCAGAGGTGTTATATGGGCATGCCCATTACTGCCTGCTCTGCTGTATTCTGGACCAGCTGAAACTTCTGGGTGGTCTTCAAGGACAGCCCCATGTACAGCACATTGCAGTAGTCAAGCCATGAAGTTACCAGGGCATGAATGAGTATCTGAAGGGCCCCCCAATCTAGGAAAAGGCACAACTGGCACACCAGATGAAGCTGGGCAAAGGCCTTCCTGGCCACAGCTGCCATCTGCTCATCAAGCAGGAGCTGTGAATCCAGGAAGACCCCAAATTGCACATCACCATTCAAAAGGGAGTGCCACCCCCATTTAGGGTTTAGCATGTTGTACGAACTCAGCTTCCAAGGGTCTGCTCCTCCCAAACTTTTCAAAGGAGAATAAGAAAGAGAGTTGACCTCACCTGATCATACTGATAAAGAGCACAGATATCTTGGGCATCTATCAGTTTCTTTACTCGCTCTATGTCCTGCTCCTCCAGCCGGTAGTTCAAGTCCCCCAACCATACGATAACGCTGTCAGGAAGGAATTCTGGTAAGAAGATGACTGCCACAGGTTGCAGCCCCACCTTCTCAGCTTCCAGTGGCCCTTCCAGTCCTACTTTTCCTTCCCTGCCTTGAATCCACCAAATGCAAAACAGATACCAAGTGAACTTCAACCCAGGTCAGCACCTTGAGTCCCTACTTCTTGCACAATGGAAATCCACAGCAAGGCCAAACTATGCATTCTGTTGACCAATGTGCCCTCTGAGGCTTCCCCACTTACTCATGCTGGCTGAGGGGGATGGCTGGTAGGCTGGGATCCTGCTGGTAGAATTGCAGGCGGGCACAGATGTCATGGAAGTCCTGGTTCTGCTGCTCAGATTCCTGTGGGTGGGCTGCCAGGTGGGCATTCACCATACAAATAGTGGTGCTATGAAACCTGAAGTGGATGGCCACGGCCCCCTTGTCACCCTGCAGGATAGAAGGACTGCATAGGTCTGTGGCCATAACGATGTGGAAAAAAACTGCAAAATGGGTCCTTGCTTGGAAGCAAGCAGGAAAGGGCAAGGAAAATCCAGCCCACACAAAGAAGACCTAAGACCCCATTTATACCCATCTCCAGCCAAAGACGGCATTCAGCCTGGTCCAGGGGAGGGGACAGGGAGCTCTCAGAAACATTTCTGAAGCTTAATTTTAAATAATGTTCATCTAAATATCTGCCATTTATACCTCTAGATTTTTTTCGTAACAGATGTATTCCCCTCAGATACTGTTTCCAAGCAGTTGGGTGCAAATTTTGATAGCAAATAGGAAGATGCTGCAAGGATCAGTCCAAAGCTTGCCTGTAAAACTCAGGAAAGGCATCTGAGCTGCAACAGGCTGTGAGCCAGAGGACTTCCCTTCCCTTGGAGCATGCGATGGGTTGAGCAGGACACAACCTGATGCCAACTGCTCCCCTTACTGCTGAAAGACCCCAGCCCCGCTACATTCTCACAGCCCAGGATCACTCCGCCACGCCCAGGGCCTCCTCTCTCTCATTTGCCCTTAACACAAGGGCTCAGGGTCCCTACCCTCCTATTCTGCAAACAAGCCTTTGCATGGCCTCTGCACTGAATCTGGTGGGCTTCTTACCCTTGAGGCTGCAGAGAGAGCTGCATCCTGAACTTTCTAGGCCTTTCTTTTCCTTCCATTCCTTCTCCTCTTTTCCCCCCGTTCTTTGTTTAACATTGTGACCTCATGCTAAACAATGAGGCTTTGATTTAATACAATGTGTGAGCTTAGCCCTGGCAGTCTGCATACCACCACTGAGGTCTCTGGAGGTACAAAATAATTAATAATGTTTCACTTAAGCATACAAGTATCTCATAACTGTTCCTTTCTGGAAGGAAGCTATTACATATATTAACTCAACTTTGAGACAATATTTAATATTCTGAGAGGTTCATATTCTTTGGAAGTGTTTCCTTATCGCACGGAAATGGGTGTCTAGCCAAAGAAAGTGGATGCTCTCTGCCCTGCTTGCAGCTGAAAAAGAAGCACAGGGCCCCAACCCAACAACTCAGTGGCCTAGAAAACTGCTGTTACAAGTGAATTATTTATCCACATAGATTAGATGATTATAATGAAATACGGCTAACATTCACTGAAATGCATAAATATCTGTATAGTCATATGAAAAAATAAGTACACCCCATGGAATTTTTTTACTTTTTCAACATATTTCAACATACAAATATTTGATCAAAAAGTTCAATGGGTGTACTTACTTTTTCACATGGCTGTATATGTGTCATGGATATATATACATATATAAACATTCTATGTATATGTATCCATGAATATTCATCCTGTACGATTTGGGGGGGGGTTTCTGTTCTTTCTTTATAACTTTACAGGTAGTCCTTATTTAGCAACTGCCTCAGATAGTGACCATTCACAAATAGGACAATAATAAACTAATAACAAATTCATTTTCCGACCAATGCATACATTTATGACCATATTTCATACACCTGACAATAACGCACGTTGGTGTGAGAGTAATGCTGGCATAGCTGTTTGAGAGAACTTTATCTGGGACTTCTGGGTGGGAACGTGGCAGACTAGCACGTCTCTGCACACTGGGGATAACACTGAGGCAAAGACCAGCAGCTGGGTGATGCGCCCGAACTAATGGAGTTTCTCCAGACAAGGAGAAAGCCATGAGATTGCCCACTTGAGCTCTAGATGGCTGTTCCTTGTGAGGAAGCCTGCAGGATCTGGAGATAACCTATAGGTGATTCATGAGTAGAGTGCTGGGAGCCACAGAAGAATAAACACATTCACAACCTCAGACAAAGCCTTTTAAAAGGACACTTGGTTTGCCCAATCCACTTTCTAACACACATTTGGATGGAAAGAATTTAAAAGTGAAAAGAGACTGTGAGTGTACCAAAGCCACCTGGATGAGTGTATCTTCAACCCATGGGAAGGACTAAAGTAAAAAGAAAGAGAATACAGGTAGTCCTCAGTTAACAATGGTAATTGGGACTGGAATTTCCCAAGACAGTAAGCTCTTCTACACACAAGTACTTACAGTACTCTTGAAATCCCTTCCTCTCCAATCTCTCCACTCTGTGGAAGGGGAGAAAAAAGCAAGTGATTTCTGTAGGCAATCTCT